AGACTGAACCATCACTACTTTCTCTTTAAGAAGACTGAACCATCACTACTGTCCCTTGAAGAAGACTGAACCATCACTACTGTCTCTTTAAATCACGTCCTTGTATGTTTAATGAGTGAATCTGTGACTTCTGAGTGGATTTATGGAGGTTTATTCTGGATGAGTTATCAGTTATGAAGAACCAGAACTACAGAGGTTCATGTGATTCAATGAATTCAAAGTAAAACACAGAGACAAAAGTCATCCTATAAAAGCTGTTGAGTTCTGTTAGCAGTTAGCTGTGGTTCCTCTGTCAAAGCAGTGAGAGACTAAAACAGGAAGTAGAAGGAGACCTGAGAGACACTGAAGCCACCACGTCTCTGGTGATGCAGAACTAAAGAGACCGGTGGACGGACACAGAGAAGCACCGTCACTCAATAGCGTGAGCGTCTGAATGGAGCTTTAGGAGACGTGGAGAGAAGGACTGATGGACACAATGTGGTACAAGAAATTACAAAAATAAGATTCTGAATCGTCTCAAATCCTTTTTACACGGTCGCCCTGTTCAGTCTGTGCTCACGACGATATGAAGGCCACTCTGTTGTGAGAGCTGCTTCCTCTCAACAGTCCGTTGGAGCAGACGTCCGGTCGCTGAGTCGGCCTGAGAGACGGAGAGGCTCCACAGTCGCAGACCTCAGAGTCCACACCAGGATCTGGACCTGGACCTGGACCCAGACCCAGGATGACGCTGATGGAGCAAGGCAGGTCCTGAGGACACCAGGAGATGCTTCATTAGACAGACTGGACACATGGAGGACACGACATGGCAACACTCTGAGAGTCAGTCAGACAGAGGTCCAGACCTGGACCTAGACCTAGACCCGGACCCAGACAGACGCTGTTGAACGTACCTTACAGCTCTTGATCTGCTGACAGATGCCCTCAGCTTTCTGAAGGATGTCTTCGATGTCCAGCTTCATGGAGAGTTCGTTAATGTGCTGAAGGGACAATAGACAGACGTCTCAACATGTTCAACACATCTATACATATATACACATATATATTGTGGGAGAAAAATGTATGTGTCTTGAAATATATTTGTGTAAAATCAATCATATCCATAATTTGAAATGCATCCATGTACATTCATTCATACTGTGATATTGGCCGGTATCATTCAGTGTGGCTTTGTAAAGCACACTGAATATAATCCATCGGGCTAAATCAGAATGATTATTATCCAGAAAGTTTGGCGTGCTTCTCCTCACACAGCGTTGCCAACACCTGCGCAAAAAATACATCAAAACGTGTGGCCTGATCGGGAATAGTGTGCCATCTATTTTTCGGAGAGATTCGCCCAGCGGTTTTCCCGAAAAACGGAGCAAAATTTCTCCATCGACTTGAATGGGGTTTCGTCGTGAAGAGAGCTAAAAAAAACACTTTGGGCCCATATTGACTAGCCGTACATTAATGTAGAAACATGATTCAAAGTTTAAAACGTAGATAAAACGCTGCACTTTATTGAGCCAAATGGACATTTTGATAGCTAGCACAGTTTTCATGAAGTCACAGATTAAGTTTCAGGAAAATGTTGGGTCTGTTTCAGATTTTATAATGGGTGTGTATTGCACGGCTCGTTAAGAGCTAGAGTGAGAGCATAACTGTCAGAGTGGAGCGGAGCAGGAAAATATTCTGTGAGTTTTCCAAACAAATTGCTCCAGCTCCCACAATTTTTACTCTTTATACACCATTTTTGGCCCAAACTCTTGGAAATGTTGTGCTGTCGCAGTAAAGTGTCTGTAGAATCCAACGGACTTACACATTTGGCTCAAAGAGCCGCAGAGCGACATGAACTCCAACCAACTGCTCCATTAGACTCCATGTTAAATCTCACCACTCATTCCTCAAAGAAAGCTGATGGTACCAGTTTTGTATATTGCTCTGGAGCTCACATTATTAACACCACAAACATAAAAAAACACATCAGCGCGTTTGGCAGAGTCTTATCTTTCTCACGGTATCCATATTTTGGCACTCAGACTCCTGCTTTTTGTTAAAAGGAGGCAGGAGTTTTGTTCAAAATCACTGATTACTGCAGTGGTTCTCAAACTGTGGGGCGCGCCCCTCTAGTGGGGCACGGCGGTATTGCAGGTGGGGCGCAGGGGGAAATGCAGAATTTTTTATATATACAGTATCATCCACGTGAATCGTGTAGATCCGTAGAGGGTTTTTTTTGGGGTGGGGGGGGGGGGGCGCGGTCAACTGGCCAGCCAGCATTTCTCAGATTAGAGTGAGACGAGGAGAAAAGGTGATGTCGTGATCTTCACAATAAAACATCTCTGATGTGACGTGTCGAGTCTTGGCCAATCAGCGTTAAGATGTCTACACCGTCTTTCCCTCCGTTACAGTTTAAGTTACGTTATGTCCCGTTACCGTTCAGACTTGCTGGGTTAAGTTAACGTCCACTGCATGCGGAACTTCGTGGACTGTTAACGTTCGTCATTATCACGATTTGTTTAGGTTTTCACAGGTTGCAGTTTATTGTTATTATCTTAGAAAGATATTCAGTGCAAAGCAGTTGAATTGCAGCCACAATAAGCTATTTTTTGTGGGCGGTGAGGGTCAGAGAGTGTGAAGATAGCGAAAGTGTGGAGATAGCGAGAGGGTGAAGATAGCGAGAGGGTGAAGATAGAGAGAGGGTAAAGATAGAGAGAGGGTGAAGGTAGAGAGAGGGTGAAGATAGCGAGAGGGTGAAGATAGCGAGAGGGTGAAGATAGAGAGAGGGTGAAGATAGAGAGAGGGTGAAGATAGAGAGAGGGTGAAGGTAGAGAGAGGGTGAAG